TAGTGCCTGTATGACCACACAAGCCAAGAGGTGAGCACACACACACTCAGCAGATCCAGGCAGAGTCCAGAGTAGAGGTGGCAGCTTGGCCCCCTTTCAGGGGAGCCCTGTCCAGCCCCTCCGTCCGCATTTGTTGGTGTGTGCTGGCTAAGCCTCTGTTTTTTTCACCTATGGAGTGGGGTGAGGTGTAAGGGGAGAGCAGAGTGTCACTTATGCTGGTTCCAGGAGCCACCTGACTTGGGGGCCACATCATCCTAGTCATTTGGACACCCTGGCCTTTGGGGGTCTGGGAGTACCCAGAGAGCACACAGTTCCCTGTCTCATTGCTTTTGGGGTGCAGGTGAGCAGAGCCGGCTGTCCTTTGACACCTTCTGCCTGGCTCAGCGGATCTCTAACAGACTCCCTGAGTCTGGGAAAACCCAGGGAGTTGAGGGACCCGGGCATGCTGTGGACTGAAGTTTCCTCTGGATAAAGGAAGCAAATTCCTCCAGGACTCTGGACCATCAGCCCCCCCCCCCCCCTCGGGAGCTGGTTAAAAGGCAAGCCTGATTCAGTGGGGCCAGTGTTGGACATCAAATCCCTTTTCTATGAGTTGGGAAGTCTTAGCAGACACCTGGGTCTGCCAGCTGCTGGGCCACCTTGCCTGCGTTTTGGCCTGGGCTGAGCGGCTTTCAGAAATGTCCTGCACTCATCAGAACAGCGTCTTGGTCCTGGGCACCCAGCACCTGTCACCAACTGACCTTGAGGCATTCAAGTGTTAGCAAAGCACAGACTAACTTTGTGTCCAAGTGCTGGTCCCACGTTTGGGCTGCTCTCCATCCCATCCCTGCTGGTTGCAACCAGAACATTCCTGCCCGCCCCCCCCCCCCCTCCCATAATGACACCGTACTTCCTGTGGGCTGATCTTGTCACCGGGTTTCAAGATCACCTCCTTCAGAAGGAACCCAGTCAAGCCAGAGCAAGGGGAGGTGGGTCCTCACAGTGACAGGGAGGCACGGAGCTCTCCCGTGGGCCTCTGAGCATGGCTGGGCGCAGCTGTGTGCTCAGCAGTGGGGGAGTCTAGGGGAATGAGTATACGCACACCTGCGGCCGTGCTTGTGGGTGTGCATGCGTGTGCAGCGTGGACGTGTGTGTGTGTGTGTGTGTGTGTGTGTGTGTGTGTGTGGTGTGTCAGCAGCCGTGGGCAGGCTGGCAGCGCAGTGGGAAGAGGGAGTGATGGCTCCTGAACTGTGGGAGAACTCCGGGTACCGTCTCCCCATCCTGGGTCTCAGCCTTGGGGTCTCCTGGGGAAGTCTGAGCTTCCAAGCCTCACACAAGCTGCTCTGGGGAGAGGGGCCTCAGCTGGGTCAAGAGGCTGCTGGGGGAACCTTCCCAGATTCAGCCCAGACCTGACTGCAGTTTTCCTCTCTGCAGATTTTCCGACGGGCGGATAAAAACGGTGAGTTTCCTTCCGGGTGCTGCACTGCCCACGCTCTCCCTGTCCTGATGCACCATGGGAAACACTTAGGGGCTGGGGACATGGACAGCTGTGAACCTGAACCTGAAGAGCACAAGAAGACCAGAGGCCCGTTCTGTGACTCGATTTCCCCTTCTGTAAGCTGGAGCAGTAACAGCTGTCCTGTGGGATGCCCTGAGCTTTGGGGCAAGGCAGAGAGGTGGGGGGTGACCCACAGACACATGAAAAGAGAACCAGAGAGCAGTGTGCTCATCCGTAAAGGAAGTGCTTACGAGGCCCCTGCTTGTCACCTGCCCCAGAGGCCCTTCCCAAGTGGGCTTGAATTCAAAGTGGCCCTGGCCTTGTCCAGCTCCTACGTCATTCTTAGGAGCCATTGTTGACTGCCCATGTAATTGTGGGGTGGGACGGAGCTCTTTGGAATATGAAATGGCAGGGAAACAGGCTTGGGCTTGAATACTGCAGAGGGGTATGGCCCTCTTTTGGGCCTGTCCTAGGGATGGCATGCATCTTCCCAGGCCTTGGGGTGAAGGGCCATCTACATTCCTCATGGGACCCAGGGATGTAGGGAGATCGAGTGGTACTGAAGATGAGGGAGCACTATGCAGGGAAAGAGGCCTGCCCTCCTCTCCCCCAACACAGGTCTCAGGAGTGACAGTCTACAGTAGGCCTTAGATTTTGGACTTATCTTTTCTGGTGAGTTTGACTATGCACAAAGCACAGCAGGTCCTCTGCCTTCCCTCATGAGAGCAAGGCTGAGTGTCTCTGGGAGGCTCTCAGTAGTAAGGACATGAGATAGCCAATCACCAGGGGCAAGCTAGAAAGAAAGGCCTGACTGGCAGCCTAGGGCATCACCCTAGAAGACTGGCATTGACAGCTGGCAGAGGGGCGAGGCCCAGCCAGCCTTTCCCTCCATCGGATGTGAGGCTCACAGGCTCTTGCTGTTTGAAAGGTCACTGCGGCAGGCTGGGCTCCTGCTCATTAGTAGCACCACCTGCAAACAGCCGCACTTGGGTTGTTGGCAGAGGTGATGAAGCTCCAGGACAACTTGTCTTCTCTAATTGGACCAGAGGCCAAGTGCAGGATATCTTCCTCTTAATAGCTTATGTGTGCTCATTAGGCTTGTGGCCACCACCCGAGGTAAATGTCAGAAGGCTTATGATCAGAGGAGTTCAGACCCTGTCTTCTAGGTCCCTGTTCTCTGGGTACAGAGGACACTGAGGTACCATCCATGCACGAAAAGCAGGTAGAAGCAGTCAAAGGGAAGGTGGGCCTTGTGGTGGCACACCCCATGCTGGGCCTGGGACAGACATGACTAATCAATTACAGCACACATTCATGAGTGTGGTATTGGCCTCAGCTTTTCCATGCAGCCCAGCTACTCCATGAAAGATTGGAGGAACCACTCCTTGCTAAAAGGTTGGGGGACTGTTATGGCACCCACCATGTGGCACAAAGTCATGCTCTAGGCTAGGTTTGGCGGTCTGAGCTCAGACTGCTGATGCCTTGAGGAAGGACAGAATAGAGGGATGATCACTGCAGGAAGGCTAGTGGTGTCAGGTAAAAGGATGCTACTTAAATAGTGTCCATGTCAGGTGACTGAGGGGAAAACAGAAGGGAAGGTGGAGCATGCAAGGTGTTTGCTCCTCAGAAACTAGCTTCCGTTGTCTCTGTTGGCTTGGGATTACCTGTCAGCAGGCCTCAGGCTGACAACGGGGAGTTTGTCAGCTGAGGTGGTGGGTCTGGGAGCAGGCTGTGGGCTACCATGTGCTCTTTTCTCTGGGACAAACAGCCACTTGCCGCCTTGTCTGTCCATTGCAGATGATGGGAAGCTGTCCCTGGAGGAATTTCAGCTCTTCTTCGCAGATGGTGTCCTCAATGAGAAGGAGCTTGAGGGCCTCTTCCACACCATTGACTCAGACAACACCAAGTGAGCCCAGGCTGCTTCGGGGCACCCCAGGGATGTATGGGCCCCTCCCTTCTCACAATGCCAAGGTTCTGTTTAAGGGCAAGAGGCCTGGAAGTCCTCTGACTCATCTGAAAGTCAGACCTACCTGGGCCTCACTGTCAGGCCGAGTGAGTCCTGTGTGTGTGACTGCCGCAAAGTTGGTCCTTTCTAAGCCATCTTGGCCAAGCAGAGACAGACCCTGGGCCTGACGCAGTACACACAAGACTGACAGGGACATTGGCAGTGACTGTGCCTGTCATACCTCCATTCAGTTCTAATCCCAGTAACACCCCAGACTCTGCTTTCTAAGATACTGTCCCCGTGAATACCCAGTAATGTCTATGAATCCCAGCTCTATCCTCAACCCCACTTTTGACCTTGGAGCAAACTGAGGTTTGTTTGTTTGTTTTCTGTGACCCAGACATGACTTGGGCCTGTAGCTTAGTTTCGCAGGACACCTGGCCTCCAGAGCCAGCATTAGTGTGCATTGCCTGTACTTGCGGGCCCTTTGCCCATCTTTGTCCGTTGCTTCTGAATCCTGCCTGGATAGGTACCAGCTGGTCACCTTCCCCTGCCCTACCGAGGTACTGAGGACTAAAGTTTCCAGGGGTGCTAGGGCAGGTCGGATCATTAGGGGGCCCCGAAACTAGTGAAAATGTAGGTACATGGCTACTACCAAGCCGGCTTGCAGGGATCCTAGGAAAGCGGTAGCCCAGAGCCAAGGCTGGAGACCTCAGCAGAGCAGAGGACACTGTCTGCAGGCCACATGAGAGCTCACAGCTTCTCTGCAGCCTCCTGGGCACACGCTGGGCCACACTTTCTCACTGGGAGCCTCAGGTGTCCGGCTGACTGGGTGGAGGGAGAGGAGGCTCTGCTCTAAGAGGTTGACCTGGAGACGGTAGCTGTGGTGCACACACTTTTCATCCCAGCACTAGGGAGGCAGAGGCAGGTGGATCTCTGAGTTCAAGGCCAGCCTGGTCTATAGGGTGAGTTCCAGGACAGCCAGGGCTACACAGAGAAACTGTCTCAAAAAAAAAAAAAGATTGACTTGGAAGAGTAAACAAAGTGAACTTCCTTTAGGGGAGGCCAGAATTCTAAAGGCATTCTGGATTCTTTGTTCTAGTATTCCCCAAAGTAGAAACTACGAACGTTAATTAGCCCCTTGAGATGCTAAGCGTTTCTGAACCAGACAACTCATATCAGAAGCAATATTCCAGGCTGTCAGAGAAATGCCAAGGCAGTCACAGGCCTTGGAATCTACAGAAAACTTTTACCAGACGTATGCTGCTGAACATGGGAGCTACCAAAATCAGTCCAGGGTAGAGGCTAAGCCCAGAAAGGAGAAGGCATCAGGCCCCACACAGACCCTGCCTGGTCCTTCTGCTGCAGCATCTGGGGCTGAAGCCTTCAGAGACCTTCCCCAACCCTGAGCAAGGACCAGTTTCTTCTCTGTTTTGGTGTAAGAGTGAAGCCCAGGGCTAGAATGGAGGCTGACCTAGGGTCCCAAGAGTCCCAGAAGGGCCAGCGGTGTTGCTTTGATAACGTGTAATAGCCGCAGCCCACAGGCTTGGAGAGAAATGTTGAGCAGCCAGGTATGGTGGCACAGGTCTGTAACCGCAACACTGGAGACACCAGTACCTAGGATGCAGGGTCGGGGGGGACACAGCAAGTGTTTTAAGGATGACACAGAGGGTCAGAAACAGGCCTGCTGACTCTCTCTCCATCTTTCTCTCTCCCCCTCCCTCATTCCCTCCCTCCCTCTGCAGCCATGTGGACACCAAGGAACTGTGTGGTACGTAAGTGCTTCTACAGCAGCCATGGTGGGGGCAAAAGCACCCAGAGGAGGGCAAAGCAGTGTGGACCTAGGTGGGGCTGGAGGGACGGCCCCAAGGAGAGGAGTGGAATCCTCTGTGACCCCTGACCTTTGCAACCTCCTCCCCTAGATTACTTTGTGGAGCACATGGGAGACTATGAGGACGTTCTGGCATCTCTGGAGACCTTGAACCACTCAGTCCTGAAGGCCATGGGCTACACCAAGAAGGTCAGTGGGTATGGGTAGCGCCCTCAAGAAGCTATGACCCGTTGATTCTAGATTTTTCCGATCCTTGTTGTTCAAGGGTGTCTGGATTTGTGGTGACAAAAGGTGGCCGACGGCTCCTTGAGGAGCAGAGATAAACCAGGTAATAGGAGGAGCATGTTGCAGAGTAGCCCTTTCCTGCATCGGAGTGTGAGGGCTTTCCCAGGGTCAAGCCTGGTCCTGGAGTGGAAACCTGGTGAGGGCAGGAATCCTGAGCGATTGGCTCTTTGAGGAGCAGCACAGACCTAGGGATCTTGAAGTGAGGATTTAAGGCTTCTCTATCGGAACTGGACCCAGGAGTGCAATGGCATCTCCTTCGTGGAGTCTCCAGCTCTCCGTCTGTGAGGTGGGAACATCCATCTTCCAGACCTTGAAGGAAGCGAACGAGGCAGGTCCTCTGAGATGCTGAGTGCGGGGCTGCGTAGGGCAACACCAGCTCTCTCAGCATCCCACGTGCAGCCCGTGCTCTGCCCGCAGCGGACTGGACTGAAGAACCCCTTCTTGGCCCTGCCCCCAACCCTTGCTGTGCCTGACCCCCCCGACCGCCCCCCCACTTAGCAACATTGCGCTTGTCAGGAGTCTTGCTGTTTACAAGTAATTTAAGGCCCTCTGAGAGCTACCCTCGATGGCTGTTGATCATTGCAGTTTTGCTGACAGACCCAGTGTCCCATGGTGGCTGGAGCATTAGCAGGGTGTGCCAGGCACGAGTGTCAGCCTGCTGTACTGTCGATGGCTGGGGCCAGGGTGGGCGGCGGGGAGGAATGGATTGTGTAGCAACCCCCTCCTTGATTTCTCCCTTCCCTTCTAGTGGCAGAGCCCATTCATTCAGTAAGGCTGTAATGAGGCATTGGTCCCACACAGCCGTCTACCTGCTCTTCCATCAGATCGTGCAGGAGCAGAACCTCACCATCTATGAAGGAGAGGGGCTGAACTCCTCCCAGGAGGAGGCTCAGCTCAGCCTTAGCCGTGGTAGCCCTAGGACCTTGCACGTGTGGCCTCTGGTGGTCGTGGTGGTTTCACGTATGCAGGAGCATCCTTGTAGGGCCTGACAATGGTACCTGACTATTTTGTTTATTTTTTTCCTGGGTCTTTCCTAGCTGTTTGTAGAAAGGCCGGTGATCTTTAATGCTTTCCTTATGTGCTGTCTAGTTTTTACGTCAACTTGGCTTCAGCGAGAGTCGTCTGAGTTGATCTCAGTTGAGAAATTCCCCAAACAGATTGGCCTGTGGGCAAGCCTGTGGTGTTTTCCTGATTGATGATTGATGTGAGAAAGCCCAGCTCACTTTGGGTGGGGCCACCCCTGGGCTCGTCGGGTGGTCTTGGATGCTGTAAGAAAGCAGACTGAGCAAGCCAGAGGGTGCAAGCCAGTGAGCAGTATTCCATGGCCTCTGCATCAGCTCCTGGGTTTCTGCCCAGAGTTCTGTCAGTGGACTGTGATGTGGAAGCATACGCTGAAATAAACCCTTTCCTTCCCAAGTTGCTTTCAGTCATGGTGTTTCACAGCAAGAGACACCCTAACTGAGACACCTTTCCGTCCCTGGTTGTAGCTGAATGCTTTGATTTCTGGGGCAGCGGTGCCACCATGGTTAGCTGGGTTAGTCTCCTGCATGCTGGCTAACATAGGCTCCTGTGGTGACTCCGTTGCTTGTGGCATATTCCCCGGATCCTAACACATTACAATGATGGCAAGCCCTAGATTTTCAAGCACATCGCTCCCCTAATTGCAATATTAATGCCAGCTCTTATTTTAGAATCCTCTTCAGTTCAGCCTGTGCAAAAAAAAAAAAAAAAAATGCTTTTGCCTTCCGCTTTGTTTTGTCTTGTCTTGGGTGACGGCAAGGAATCTGCTCAAATGCCTTTTTTTTTTTTTTAATGATCTGATGATTTTGCCTCAGCTATCGATGGGTGGATTCTATTTTTAGATCCGCTCATATTGAACAGTCGGTGCTCCGTGATGAACTCTCATCAGAACGTCATTCTTTCATCATCTCTCACTCAGTTCTGTCACCCACTGAGTATTTTCTCTCTGCATTGAGAGCTGAGGTGGGATGATGGCCTGGGGAGCAAATCATATAACTGGACATGTCCTGTGTGATTTGCCATACCTCATATGTATGGAAGTGTCTCTCTCTCTCTCTCTCTCTCTCTCTCTTTTTTCTATTCAAAAACAAAAATTATCCAGAACTCCTAAGTCAAAGGACTTAAAAGGGTAGGGACTTCCGTCATAGGTCTTATTCTGTTATGTGTGAGGGGTTTTGCCTGCATGTATATCTGTGAACTAGTGTGTGCCTGGATCCCACAGGAGCCAGAAGCGGGCATTGGATCCCCTGGAACTAAAGTCACAGATGGTTGTGAGCCACTATACAGGTGCTGGGACTCAAACCCCAAGTCCTCTGTCAGAGCTCTTAATCACTGAGCCAGTTTTCTAGCCGCTATGATAGGTCGTTTATAGCCAACTCTAATTTTAGTCATTTCCTTTTTGGTGTGTTCACTTTAGATACTCTTTAATAAACCCGGACATGTTTACTTTTATGATCAATTATGTACGGCATGTTCTTATGATTATTTTAAAAAGCCTAAACCATTGTTTGACCAAGACAGATAGTTCGTGCAGAAAAGAACAATAAAAAGTCCTTAGGTAGTTGTGAGGTTGGAGCTGTCAGTCTCAGAGCACTTTGGAAATTGCCCCATTTCCTCCAAGTTTGTCCCTTCCCTCCCTCTCTTCCTCCCTCCTTCCTTCCTTCTTTCTTTCCATTCTCCCTCCCTCCCTCCTTCCCTTACTGCTTTTCCTTTGCTTTGTTGTTGACACAGGATCTTACAGTGTAGATCAGGCTGACCTCTGACTTCTCATCCTTCTGTCTCAGCTTCTTCAGTACTGGGATTATTAGATTGTGCCACCTCTGACTGCTTCCTATTTTAATTAGCTGTTTCTCATTACCAGCTCCAGACAGTTATTTAATATGTGTGTTATGTTTTCTAATTTATTTGTGCTTCTTCTTATTATAATTCTTTTCTCTGTTGGCTTGGGTTCGTTGCCATGGTCAGTCGTTTTTTTTTGTTTTTTTTTTTTCCTTCCTTAAATGGAATGCTTTGGTTAATATGAAATTTTGAAATACAAAACATTGACTTTTGGTGTTTTATGGCCACATAGAGGTTGCCATACAGTGCCTTTGTCCCCAGCACTTTCCAAACCGTCTCTTGAATTCACTGTACTGTGACAAAGACACCAAATCTGAAAATAGATGTCATGTCTTTGCTGGGAAATACATGCAGCTGAAATGCACTTTTTAAAAAGCCAGTCTCTTCTGCACATGACAGTGACACCTCAGAGATGTTACTTCTGGCTTTGGAGAAGTCAAAGAATGTGTGTGTGTGTGTGTGTGTGTGTGTGTGTGTGTGTGTGTGTGTGT